GAAAACCCACAAATTCACTTTTATCGTAACCTAAAAAAACCATAGTCTCAAAACAAATCCATAACACACTCCAAAACGCGGAGAAATTCCCGTAACCACCGTCACAAAAACACGTTGGCAACTTAAATGTCCTTATCCGGTTCTTTTACATTGTTTTGTCCAAAAATATGACCATACGGGCCATTTTTAATAGCTTCCATCCTCAGTCGACTTCTTTCTTCCTCTCTAATCGTCTCCGCTTCCTCCCTTTCCCTTTCTCTCCTGGCGTAAGATGGGCCAGGGAGACTATCTTCTCATTCTTCCTGCCGGCGTAATCTTTCACGTTCTTTGGCCCCGTTGAGGGCCTTCTTCCTGTCTATCTCAGTTTGGATTTTTGCGGGAATGGGAACGTTCCAATCCGGGCGGTGGCACGTATTCCATTCCTGGAATTCCTCCTCCTCAGAGGGGCGTCTGCCATATTTCTTCTTTCTGAGGTGTTTTTCCACCTCATTTTCGAACCTCCCGTCCGCAATCAGATTCAAAAGCTCCGCAAGGAACTCCTCCTCCCTCTGTTTTCTTAACTGCTCAATGAGCGCCCTATTAGCTCTCTGTTCCATCTTGCTTATTTTCTTGATGGCTGCTTCCTCCAATTCCCCATACCCATAGGTGTATTCCGCTTCTCCGTCCTCTAGGTCTGATTCCGGTTGAAGGGTAGCATAACGATTTTCCCACTTTTCTTTTTCTAATTCAATTAATTTTTTCCTAACCAGACCTTCTCTCGTTTTTACCAGATCCCCTTCCACAACTAGATTTAGTCTGCCCCGCCCCCTCCCTCTAGGCGGGCCAGTGAGATCCTTGCTCAAATTTTCCACTGTATTCTACCAACCTCAGTTACCCTCCGAGGGGCGAGCACCAGGCCCTCTCGCTTTTTTGATGGCCTGCAGTTCGTCTTCCAGAAGTACATCAAACTTCTCCCAGTATTCCGGTGTCTTCATTCTGTTTCCCTAGCCACCATATCCCTAGCGGTGACATACGCTACATTTCGGTAGGCCATAACCTTTTTGACCGCCTTCTCACGTTGGAATTTGCAACAGACCTTGGCCAGACTCGTGTGGTCCCCACCACAGTTCAGGCATTTCATTGGCCTGTCACACGCCCCGTGCTCATTCTCCGAGCACTTTATGCATCTTCTGTTCTTGTTTCTACATTGAACTTGTATGTGGCCAAATGCAAAACAGCGGTAGCACTGTTTTACTGCTTCGATGAACGGGAACACTCTCACACTGACATGCCCTTGACCTATCCATAGCTCCCTAGGCAGCTGATCTCCCTTGAAGGTCGCTAGGATTGCCAGTCTCTCCACCCACTCTGATTTCCCGTCTTTAATAACTTTTTTCTTTAATCTTTCAAAGGTGCACTCCGGTTGCCCTGGAACTAGGGCTTCCTCCAGTGCCCCTACCGACTCCTCCCAGTCCGTGATGACTCCTTTTCTTGCCTTCTTCCTCTCAGGTAGGTAAGCTTCATACGTAGCATTTTAATTTTCTGCTCTCTTCAAGATCTCATTAGCAGCCGCTATGTCACTGAAGGTTAATTCAACCCTATTAAAAGCAACCGTTTTTAAACCACGTAACGACCTTCCTCTGTTTTTAATTAATCTATATATTTTAATCAAGTTTCTACGTTTCATTCTAGTCGTCACTTCTTTTTTTAAAGCCACAGTTAGCATGTATTCTTTACTGATCAGCTCTTCTTCATAGTATGATATCTTGTACTTCTCACCTTTGTTATTCTTCTGAACAGATGCCGACTTCACTTCGGGCCGTCCGCCACTTACAGGTACAGTATTTTCCAAAGTTTCCACGTTCTCGTTCGTTTCTTCCAATTCCAATCCCACGTGTATTCCAGTATCCTTAACTAAATTATCGGACATTGTAAGATCATCGACTCCTTCAACAGTTAGCTTATCGGCTCTTTTTTTACCTTTAATGCGATGCGAGCGTCGAGGCCGAACTCCGAATTCCGCGTTGGTAAAAGTCAACGTTTCATCGAAAATTAGGCCGAACAGAAACTGATTTCAGCGCCACCTCAGTTATCGCATCCAACTAACGGCAGGACCAGAGCGCCATTCTTTAGGGCCTTCTGGACACGTCTCTCAAATTTTTTTGCATTCTGTTTAGAAATGACGACGAAAACCGAAAACTCGCGTCTAGGGATTTTTCTAGGGACTGTCGGTAAAGTTTTCGACGCTCGCATCGCCTTAATATGGTTTTCAGAGCCGTCTTCACTTGTCCTTCTTGTTCTCTTTCACCTGGTTTCGACTAGCGTCCATTCAATGCTTCCAGAACCTTCTTTTTGCGCATCGTTTGCAAATTCTAACGGTTCCTCTAACTTCCTGTCAGGGTTGCCAATCTCTGTCGAGGTTGCCAACTTCTCCTTTTGTATTGTGTTGCGAACCTCGCCTGTATGTATGTGTGCAATATCATGTGAATCTAGCTGCAAGCTTGTAATCACAAGCATTGAATGAAATGTAATATGGCGACTCATAAATTAGGAGCCAAAATTCAAAGGAATAAACAAACAAAAGATAGGACACTGTAAACCTTTCAGCGCGGGTGATCGTGCTGGGAGAGAGTTTGAAATCCGGAGAAATAAGACTGTCATACTTGAAGTTTCTAAGAAACTAATTTATTGCGGACCGTATCTAATTCGTTACTCTTAACGAAAATCATGTTGGTTCTTGAAACTGTCGAAATCTCTTCGACATCCTGTTTATTTACAGAGGGTCGTAAATTTTCTTAAGGGTTGCCTTGGCTCGGTAGCGCGAGACCCTTTTATCTTTCGTTCTCTCTGGATCCCACGCTTTCCCTTAGCACGTGTGCATGTAATCGTTCTCGAGTCTTGGCGGAGCACCACCATCTTCCACTCGCCTAAGGGTGGACCGAAGCCAGGGAGAGGGACCGCCTCCGGGCAAGGATGGGCTCCTCTACCATTGGGCCAGGGATGATCCTGAGGGAGGATTCAGGATCTAGCGAGGAGGGGATGGCAGCCAACATCGATCGAAGATCTTCACCGCCAAGCTCAGAACGATTCAAAGCTTCAAACCGCTTGCATAAATTGTTTGTCAAAGTTATAGTCACGAAATAACGTCGTATAATTTTTATTTCCTACACAGAGGTGTTTGCTTTATTAAAAGTCGCGCCGCGAGCAGAGCGCTTCAGCGCTCCACGGGCACCTTACCCACGTTCGGCATATCCCAAAAATCCCTAGAACATTAAATCCACACGCAACAATTGTAATGTTACGTGTGGATTAGGATATTTAGGGATATTTGAGATGTAAAGGATACGTGGGTAAGGTACCCGTGGGGCGCTAAAGCACCCTGTTCGCAAGGTGCGCAAATGAATTTAACAAAACCGTTATTTACTATTATTTACTATTGGTAAGTTCAACTCACAGCCGACTCTAGTACTAGCCGTGCTGAAGTAAAAATGGCAACACCGCGAGAGTCCGGTCTGAATATATCAACACCTACCCTACTCTATCTGCCTCCCGGACTCCCAGACTCTCAGCCAATCAACGTCGTCAGACTCCCGACACTCTCTGGACTTCACATAACCTCTTTGGTTTCGATCCAATCATTTCGCTTGTTTCAAGGTTTTTATTAACTTATATACACGTTTATCAATTCTTAAATGTTTCAATTTGATCCAAAGATGGTTTCATTTTGCTTCATACCTAAATTTTCTTGAAACCACTGTAAATATTTCAAATATCATGCTTCACAACACCAAACTACTGTGAGAGTACACAAAATATATATCACATTTATAACAATTTTATACTACCACATCACTTCTATTTGCCATAGTTGCAACGTTTATATATTGTTTATACATAATTAACACAAAATAGTGTATATTACTACAGCTTTTAATTAAAAAGGACGTTAATTACAATTCCGAGCACAGGACTCTGTTTTTGAAAATAGGACTCCCGATTGTCACGTGAGCGGTGTTGCCACGTTGTTCAGCATGGCTAGTACTAGAGTCGGCTGTGGTTCAACTGTTTATTAAAATCGTGAAACTTTGGTTTAATAATGCGTTTATTAGCAGCGTGAGAACAACTTTGTAAATTGAGCGACAAAATCATTCTGCCGGTTCTGCGCCGGAGGAGATCTTCGCGCGTTGTCCGTCGATGCCCCTTCCTTCGTGGATCCTGGATCCTCCCTCAGGATCATCCCTCGTCCAATGGTGGAGGAGTGCACCCCGTCTCGTGTGGGCCCCTTCTCCTGGCTGTGGTCCACCCTCAGGCGCGTGGAAGTGGAGGCGCTCCGCCAAAACGCTAGAACGTTGCAGCGCACATGTGCTACGAGAAAGCGTCGGACCCAGAGAAATTAGGAAACGACAAGACCTTGTACTTGCCAAAGCAACTCTTGAGGAAATTTACGACCCTCTTAGAGCGCATGAATAGACAGGATATCAAAAAAGACTTCGTAACTTTTAAGGACCGTTCGTGATTTGGTCGAAAACAACGAATTTGCCATGGTCTATCATAAATTAGTCTTTTAGGGATTTTCGAAGTGAAACTATTCCATTCTCTGGATTTCCGACCTTCTCTCAGCTCGATCACCCACGTCGAGGGGTTTACAATTTAATCTCTGTCTATTTATATAAGTGTACGTACAGATGATGTTTGAATTTCGCTCTTAATTTATGACCATCGATACAAAAGGTCCTCGTCTGATATTCGAGACATATCGATACTACAGACTATCGATAAATATTCCCATGGCAGTGTCGCCATAACACTCCAAACATATTCACATGATAACGTTTCACGTTACCACAGCCGACTCTAGAGTCGGCTGTGACGTTACACACGTTACACGTATGTATGTACATACATACACTGAGTTGCATTGAACTTGCCGCAGTGAAGTTGGCTACAAATTCACTAACGCATTCACGCCGCGTTGGTGAGTCGATCTCTATGTATGTATATACAAGCGAGGTTCGCACAACCTCATTCTGGGGTCCTTAGGAACCTAAAATCTATAAGCCATGAAAAACATAGGTGTGCATAGTCTTATAGTATTTATAATCACTGTTGAAATGAACCTTGTTTATTTACTATTGAAAGTAAACTTTTTTGCAATACAATTACAAGTGAATAGTATATAAATTTTTTCTTTTAGTAACATTATTCATTTCGCTACGAAAGGTAAGAGCACCAAGGATTATATCTGTGATTTATATACCGATTACAGTTCATAGAATACGTCAAAAAAAGAATGTAGTTTTTGGAAAAAATTTGATTTACACTTTTCTGATACGGGAACGTGAATTTTTAATATTTTTTTAAATGCTGTTTATCAAATTTAAGTTTAACGACAATCAGATTTACTGTTATTTACATTGGTGTTTTTTAAAATCAGATAACTATAAAATATAAACAATTGTAGCCTACATTTTACTAATGTATCTCTGTTATTATTAAAGTATTCATAATGTTGTTTTTTTTTTAAATTTTAATATAGATATATGTTAAGACAAATATCATTATGTATTAAAACAAGCATAATATTTAATAGCTATGTCTAATGAGGAGCGTCTACGGAAACTTTTATCAGATTTAGGAAAAGCAACATTGCGTGGAGTTCGTAAATGTCCAAAATGTGGAACATATAATGGATCTAGAGGCTTATGTTGTAAAAATAAATATTGTGATGCAGTTTTTAAAGAACCTGGTGAAAAAAAAAAACTATCGACTGAAGCCTGTAAACTTATCACAGGCACAACTGCTCAAGTCTTCTCTGTTCGGGTACGTGATAAAGGCCCAGACTATCGTGGATTTGTTCAGTTACCATTAATAAATACAACCATTTTTAATGAAATGACTACACTTATTTCACAATCCACTGCATTGTGTTTTGTTGATAGTTGTGAAAGAAGTTTTGATACTAGTGTTCTTAAATGTCATGTAAGTTTTAGGAATAATATGATATAAAACATATGGAAAATTTATAATTTTATTGAAATATATTTTGTTGTAGGAAAAGAATTCATCTGACGTGCCTGTACCTTCGTGTCAACATATACAAGCAGCCTTAAGATGTTATGCAGAAGCACAGCCATTAACATTAAGGAATTCTATTTTATCATCTTTAAATGTAAATAATGAAATGAAACAAGAAATTTGGTTATTAGCTACAGAAACTTCAGGCCCTTTAGTTCAGCGTGTGTCTAAAAATATCATGGCAGTGAAGTGCAAAGCCTCTCCAAAGCACCCATTAGGCTACCTACACTTTTCTTTGTTTGTTACTAAATTAAAAGATAGAATTGAACATCGCTACTTCTGTTCTTGTTCTACTTTTAAAGTAAGTGAGATAAGATTAATCAAGGTATATATACTTTAACTAATTATTCAAAAATATTTTAAATTACTAAAAATCAATTTAGGGAATATCAAAAGTAACAGGGGAAAAAATAGATGTAGCACAATCTTCCCAGAATAAACGTTGTGTACATTTTTATGCATGTATTTGTGCATTTGCTAGTGATGCAAAATTATCAGAAGAATTTAGTTATTATATTAATTTAGATCAAAACGATTTAAGTATACCAAAACCGTTAACAACAGTATTGCAGAATAATGAACAAGATAGAATAGTAGGCATTGGTAAGAGGATTTTTAATGAAATATTGAATATAATACAATAAAATATTTATATTAAGAAAATTGTAGATCTCGATGGTTTAACTACAGATGATACAAATACACATCTTTTAATATTTCGTGATGATACGTTGACAGTGCAAAGTTTAGATGGAAATAGATTAGATTTGGATTCCATGAATTTGGATTCTACAATTTTACCACATAATATTGTGGAAAACCTTGAAGTAGAATGTCATCGTACATTACTAGAAGATAATAATATAATATCACCGGTAAGAATTTATTATGCTATTAAGAATCTTATTCAAAAATTAAATCTAAACATTATTTCGAAATTCAGGTACATGGCTTAGAAGTAATTAATCAAGGTGATGTACAACTTAGTGGAAATGCAATTAGAATAATAGATAATCAAACTAGCATAGATTCTAAATATAATATGCTTAATAATAGTCAGTATATTTTAAATGATAATAACATAAAAATATTGAATACTGGAACTCTAAGAATACTCGACACAAATACTATTTTAGATGTAAACAATATGAAATTAATTGATACCAATAATGTAAAAATGGTAGATAAAAGTATTTTAGTACCCTTCGATACTAGAAATATATCAGTTGTAGAAAGCAATAGTACACAACAGCCAATTTCAACAAAACGGAAAAGAAACGATATACCAGCAAGTACAAATATTATAAACTTAAATAATTTAAATTCAATAGAACCAAGGAAAGCTAAAACAAAATTACATGTTGTTAAAAAATATCAAAATCCTTGTGAAGGTTTAGATGAAGCTAATATAAACTTACCTTTCATTAAATGGCTTGCTTCGATAACTGAGAGAATAAATCAGACTATGCATTTTCAATTTGATGGAAAACCCGATCCGCTAGTCTTTCATGTACCGCAAATATTCTTTGATTGTTTGCGGGAAAGAATATCTTGTGGCGGTAAAAAGAAACGTCTACCAAATTCAACAACAGCATTTGTTAGAAAAGATGGTGTACCGTTAGGTACATTTACTAAATATACATGGCAAATTACAAACATTCTACATGTTAAAAGTATTTTTGAAACCCCCCTTATACCTTTAGAAATCACGAGAAGTTTCGTTCAAAATGCAGATGGCACGTATGAATTGTACAAACGAGAAGAAACAGAAATGGATCGATACAAAAAAACTAATAATAATGCATTGATTAAGCCTTTAGAATTAAAAACATACTTGAAAGTTGGTAAGAATTAAAGTAATATTCATTAAGTATTAAATATAAAGACTTCAGTAAACTTTAACGAAAATCGTTATTTCTATGCTTTACAGGAAATACTTCACCAAACCAAGTTGAACCAACACCGTTTTTAATAGAATGGATACCAGATATTTTACCAATATCAAAAATTGGTGAGCTTAGAATTAGATTTGAATTCGGTCACGTAAAAAATGAGACAAATCACAGATGGAGAAAAATAGCATTATTAAAGAATTATTAAATGAAAAATGTTACAATGTACATTTCTTTTTACCAAATTTTCACTTTCTTATTGTTATTATATATATAGGGAAAGACCAAGTCATTGGAAAAACGACAAATGAATTAATACATAATTAATTTGCACATTTAGTACATTTTAAATAAGGAATAATTCAATGTTTCCACTGGAAAGATAATAAAAAGAATTCTGAAGTATTAAGAAAATAATATTTAAATAGAAAAAAAGTAAACAATTTTTGTTTTAAAGTCATTTATAAATTTTAATCATAGAAGATTTAAGACTGATCTAATTTTACACCTTTTTGTAAAAATTAAATGTAATAAATAATGAAGAATTTTTTTAACATAAATGATATGACTCATGTTATGATAATAATTATATACTAATTATAAGTTTAGTATATCTATTGTTCATTAAATAAATTAATAGTACAGTATATTCTTAAATTATTCCTAATTACAGTATATTCTTAAACTTTATTAAATAAAAATAAAAATATTAATATTATCAGGAATGTGGTAATTATACCAGTGACTACAGTGATTATACTACCAGGATGTGATATATTGTAAATATACAATAGATTGGATGTTATGTAAAAGTATGTTCACGTTATTTAATAAACACTTCAATTTTATTTTAGGTACTTCAAAATAAATTATACATTGCAAATATTGATGATCGAAGTTTTATTTGGTAATATTTGTGTTAAATTTTCATATGATTTTAATTCTATTTATAATTATAACTAATTATACATGAAAAACCTATATAAATGCGGATGATCAGTATAAAACAAAATTTTATTTTTCCTCATGTTTGTACAAAAACATGAGAAAGAATTGATAATTAAATTAAACAAAAATCGATTAAAGGCAGCAAAAATTTTTTATTTCAAATTTCAAATTTTATTAATTTCAGAAAAATAATACGAATTATTTTCTTTTGTTATATTGCTCTATATTCAGTGTCTTATTCTTAACACGTCATTGTATTTTTTTTCAATTTTCATAATACAACCGTTTCGAATCCTATTATGATAGTATATTGTATTCATAGTTTTATTTCAAATTTCTTATAACTTAATGGACTCCATAACCTCCATGTTCATTTGAACTGTTGTACTAAATAATAATTTTTGAACATAGAGAATGTTTCAGTTCAGTAAATTGTTCCACAACAAATTTTGATTTATCATGTATACTTATACTTACTTCGAATATTAACAATGTTGATCACAATTAAACAGTGCTCTGTTTTGAGTTAAATTTCGAACGGAAGTGTTCCCATGCCGGAAGTTATCTCTGACGTAGAAAGCTAAAGAAGCATATACTTCCATTTTCTCGATCTTTTCCGTGAACAAAGAGCACGTGTTTACTTGCCGGTCACATTCAACTTATTTTATTGTATAAAATTTTACGTCAGATTTGTTATAGCTCATACGTATTTGGTGGTTGAAGATTGAAAGTTTGTGATCATCGTAAGAACAGGTTAACATGAATCCTGAAAAGTTGAAGAAGCTTCAAGCCCAAGTACGAATCGGTGGTAAGGGAACACCCCGACGCAAGAAGAAGGTATTTAGGTTTATTTTTAATATTAACACAAATTCATATGTTTATTATATTGAAATTTTTATGAATGTACATGTTTTAAGCGCCAATTCATGGTTTAGCTGAGGATCGTTCGTTAGTTCACGATCACTCATTGAATCGTTTGTGTGATGCTAGAATTTTGTATTCCATGTAAGACACGTGTTAGTTGCTTTGTGTAAGCACGTTATAGGTATATAATTGGCTTATATCATGTTTGAAATTACATTTCAGTTTTAAATTTATACTGAGACTTATCAAGTTAGTAAATTTTAAGTATTTTTAAATATCAATTAATTCTTTTCATTTGTTTAAGAGTATTACTTGCGAAACTCATTTTGCACTCACTTGTGAAACATAATCCTTTTAGGAAAAAATTATATCAGTGAACAATACATTTACTTATATGTATATTTTTTACTGTTATTTACATTCAGTATGTCTTTAGGTTGTACATGCAACTGCTGCTACAGATGACAAAAAATTACAAAGTTGTTTAAAGAAGTTGTCTGTGAATACAATTCCTGGCATAGAGGAGGTTAATATGATTAAGGATGATGGTACTGTTATACATTTCAATAATCCTAAAGCTCAGGCTAGTTTGTCTGCAAATACATTCGCCATTACTGGTCATGGCGAGAACAAACAAATAACGGACATGTTACCAGGAATAATAAGTCAGTTAGGTCCTGAGGGTGTTACACAATTAAAACGACTAGCAAGTACAGTTTCTGGTAGTACCGTTGGTAAAGCAACATTGGAAGAGGATGATGAGGTTCCTGATTTAGTGGAAAACTTTGATGAAGCTAGTAAAGAGGAGGTAATAAATCAATACAAATAACAATAAGTTAAAATTATGTGTGATGTATAGAAAACTATAGGATGTGTTACACATTTTTATGATCATTGATAGGTAACACAGTCCAACAAATTTGAACCTTTTCTGTGTTCTGCAATATCCATTACGTGATTCTTATAGAATTTTTCATTGTGAAACCGAATCCGGTTTCAGAATTGCTCCATCATGTACAGTTTTTGAGAAACAGACATTTTTGTAAAAATGAGCAATTATGGGAAAAAATGAAGTACTACGTGAAAACTAAAAATGCGAGGAAGTTCAGGTTTATGGCAAAAGATAGAGAGGACTTTCCTCTATACGTCTGTGTGAACAATTATATTTTTTGATAATTTTTAATATTTGTAAATGCTTGTCAAAGTTTGAAAAAGAAGTGACGTAAGTATTTTGTACGCGCTACTTCTGTATTTTTATGAAAAATCTTTTATCTAGCAGGAATTTACTATATAGGATTGCATTCTATAAACATTTCTGATGAAGAAACTACTCACAAAACGTATCGGTATGGTTTGGTATTGGAGCAAATGAAGAAAATATTCATCGACAACGTGACTGCGACACGTTGCCGCCAAGGCGGCCATTGTATGCCTACCTCGCTGCGCCAGTGCCGAAACTTCGCATAATCTATTTAATATCTATTTGTTCTTTAATAGTCAAATTTCTCCGATCTAAAATGACATGAATGCTATAACATTGAAATTTATAGTTTTCATAAATTATTATAATCAAATTTATAACATTCAATGTAGCGTTATTTTTTTAAAATCAAAATTTGGATTTTTTAACATTTATAAACTTCTATACATCACTAATAGGTAAGTTTTGTCATGATAATTAGTATCCAAGAAGATAACAGATTCAAATATTGAACACACACTCATAGTAAACAAAAATCTATTAAAGTGGTACCAATGTCCATTATGCGTAGTTACGGCACTGGCGCGGCGAGGTAGGCATACAATGGCCGTCTTGGCGGCAACGCGTCGTTGTCACGTTCTCGATGGATATTTTCTTCATTTGTTCCAATAGCAAACCATATCGATGCTTTTTGTGAATGGTTTATTCATTAGAAATGTTTATAGAATGCAATTCTGTATAGTAAATTCCTGCTAGATAAAAGATTTTTTATAAAAATACAAAAATAGCGTGTACAAAATACTTACATCACCTCTTTTTTTAAACTTTGACAAGCACTTACAAATATTAAAAATCATAAAAAAATATAATTGTTCACACAGACGTATAGAGGAAAGTCCCCTCTATCTTTTGTCATAAACCTGAACCTCCTCGCATTTTTAGTTTTCACGTGATACTTCATTTTTTCCATAATCACACATTTTTACAAAAATGCCTGTTTCTCAAAAACTGTACGTGATGGAGCAATTCTGAAACTGGATTCGGTTTCACAATGAAAAACTATAAGAATCACGTAATGGATATTGCAGATGAAAATTCGTGTTGTACCGTGTAATCAGGACTTTGGTACATGAATTTTTATATTATTAATTTTTACTGTATTTTATATATAGTGTATAATGTGCAAATTTTGCTGTGAGAAGTGATAATTTTGAGGTATAGAATTAAGAGCTATGAAATATAAATCTGTCTTGGATAGCAATAGAAATATGAAATTAAGGGTTAAAATCTGTGTAATATACAGTCGTCAAAATATTAATGCATTGCTTGTATATTGTTATTAGGTATACAATTTATTTATAATTTAAATTGTTTTCGATGAGTTGAGAAATATTTATATATATTAGAGTATTATGATAGTGTTCATTATCTAAATAAATTTAATGGTTCTAGCTTAGTTATTAATTATGAAGAGGAAAGTAATTTAGATTTTGTAATTTTTGAAGATATTACAGATAAGTTGTACAAAGGATAGTTAAAAATAATTATTACTGAATAAACTACACTACAATGTTATAAAAGTTAATTTATACATAGGTATAGGAGAATAATGCGTATGTAGTATGAAATATTATATTGTAGTATCAAATATAAATGATTAAAATACAATAAATTTTACTGTTAATAACATTTTCATTATTCCAAACAAATTTATCTTTTTTAGTTTTATATTATTTATAAGATTATTCTAGTTAATAGTTACAAAGTTGTATATTGAATAATGTTGTTGAATTTATATGTAATACATTTAAGGTTGCTTCAAAAAAGGAAGTGGATGAAAATGATAAAGCAGCTGCTGATAAAAAAGAAGCTGTTGTACTTGATGAAAAGAAAGAAGCTCCCTTAGCTACACCTGAGGCTTAAAGTGTAACAAGGTAATTTTACACTACGAGTCCACATAACTAAACTACTAATTACAGAAAAGAGATAAATTGTTCTTTACTTTTTCTTTTACAGCTGTTTCACACAACTAAAAGTTGTAATTGACAAGTCAAGAAATACAAATTGCTAAAGCAATGCATAAATGAAGTATCACTATACATACATTATAAATATTTGACAAACCCTATAATAATACTAAATGAGTAAGTTATCAAGAAATAAAAGAAAAGAGGATATAGAAATCAAAAGTTTCTACAAATGAAGTTTTTTACTTTATTGCATTTGCTAAACGGTAGAGTTGCTTTGAAACAGCTAAAATGATCTTATTCTTTTATTAACATTGTGTAACAATAATTGTGTACAAGATATAACGTTTGAACTTCAGACATTTAATTTGGCTGTTGATAGTACTCGATATATTATTAATACAATTTTCACTATTGCATTAGGTTCGCGTGGTTTTACTTAACGAAAATAAATTCAATGAATTTATAGAAATATTGATTAGTAAAATAATACGAAGTTTCCAATAAGAGATAGTAATTTTCCACTTATCCACAGTGTTATTATATAGGGGAAAGAAATTTATATGCAGTATAGAAAGAGTAAAAAAAAATGATACGCAGAATACAGTAATTCCTCCAAGATTGCCATTGTGGTCTCATTTCCATATTGCCACTGCGTCCGGTCCCGCGCTTATGTGTGCGTTATTCCTGTACCTGTGTTTTCCTCGCTGGAGTCAGTCAAACATGTTAAATAGTGTAACGTGATACCTGCCGCGGTTCTTTGGTGTGAGTTACCACCTTAGTAATTCGTAATATAGCAATATAATTTTTTAATTTCAACGATTTTTTATCTGTAATTTTGTTGTTAACATATTCTTGAGATTTTTTCGATTAAAATGAGGCCAAACACGATATAATTTACATTATATTTATCCTAATTTCATTAAAGAACGGGTTGTTCCAAAATAGTACATAATGTCTCGGCTGTTACGAGCCTTTCATACTACAAAGGTGAGCCGAGGCGACAGAGGCTAGCCGCCCAGTGATCGAGTTTCGATTCTCCTTTATTATGATTGCAGCATTTCGATTCCGACCACAATGGCAATCTCGGAGGAAGTCCTGTACCAAGGCATCTCTATTTTAATTAGAAGAGTTAATAATGGATTACAGTAGTTTCTCGCAACCGTTTTCCAATGTGGAGAAAATGGGATGTAATATTTTGTAATGTAGTCTATGGAATAAATTCATTTTGCTGGAAATGCGGTTTTATACTTACAATTTCATGTTTTTTTAATAACTACAAACGTTATTTGCTAATGTTCATATCTATATTCATAAAGTAGCTCTGTAATAGCAATGTAATTATGGAAATATAAGTACTCTTTGTATAGTAATATTCATTTCTTAATATGTGCTCTCCATTTGCAGTTTTTGTTCTATATTTATTCACACGTTTGAGCATAAGCACTTTTACTTACATATTATTGATAATCCTTTAATTGTACAAATGTAACATTAAAAGATATCACAAACGAAAAATGTTAAGAATCGAAACTCTGAATGTTCGAATCCTCGGGTATTGCAACTTCGTGCCGTCTAAATCGAAGGACCACCCACTGATGTGGGAACAAACTAAACACTTGCTGATTTTATGCTTTATTACTAATGGTTCTGATTGCAGTCAGGTTACTGGTTAATACGAGAATGTGTCTGGCGCGAGTTTTCTTAGAATATATATGCTCAGGTTTTTCCTTCCAGTGCGCCCATTGACCTGGTACCTTCTGGAGGGGTACTGGTATCATCGTATGAGGGGTAGGTGGCGAATTGGCAACTGTGGGGTTTTTCCCAAAGTCACCAAGCGGTGCTCGGTGACCGACGAAACCGTTAGTATCCGCGGCCGGCTCACCTTTCGGGTGTGCGTGGTTTACGACATGGCCCTGCTATTGAAATCTAAAAATCTCTGAAATTGCTGCAATTAACTAGTCTAACCATTGCAGCCGTGTCGCGCAAAGGATGTCGATAATAAGGGTCTTTCAAAGTAGCTGTTTTTGGCTTGCCATGTCATAAACCTTGCCTGGCTGAAACTCTAACAAAAAACACTATTCATTTTTTGCAAATACAGGGTGTTTGACAACAGGTGGGAGAAATTTTAAGGGATGATTCTGGGGATCAAAGTAAGGCTAAAATCAAGAATGACGAAATAGTGTTTGCAACTTTGTTTTCCAGTAATTAACGTTTAAAAATTCGAGTAAAAAGCGCCTAAAACCGACTATCCGCCCAGCACCGACGATCGAACGTCAGGTCAGCAGAGGTGGGTATAGTTATAACCAAGAAGAGAAAGCCGAATGCTGCAATACCGAAAAACAGAATAGCATGGGGTAAGTTTCTACTATTCAATGATTCTTGGTTATGACTGTACCCTCCCCTGCTGACCTGACATTCAGTCGTCGGTGCTGGGCGGATCACAGGTTTTAGGCGCTTTTTACTCGAATTTTTAAACGTTAATTACTGGAAAACAAAGCCGCAAACGCTATTTCGTCATTCTTGATTTTCGTCTTATTTTGATCACTAGAATCACCCCTTAAAATTTCTCCCACCTGTTGTCGAACACCCTGTATAACGTTTAGTATTCAATAGTAGATATTTGTTAATTCCTCACGTTTGGTTTAACTTGCGGTTTCAGAGATTAATAGTTGATATTAATTCCCAAATGCAGTTGTAGCGGTTTACATATAGTATATTTGACATCGATGGTGTGTAGAAGTTCTAGATTTTCGGACTCGTCTGTTCGATACGACAGTTCAAGTAATTCTGTTAATTGTGAAAATGAATGTTAAGAAGAAGAGTGTAAAGTGGAGAAGGAGAACATTTTTGTAGGAAGGAAATTCGGAGGCCTTAATTGGCTGAGAGCGTACAGGGTGGAAGTCGTGGGTGCGCAAAAGATGTCTTGTCAAGGGACAAGGGTAAAGGGCCCACGTCGATGGTACGTTGTAAAGGGCAATTTGATCGGTAGGATTAGTGTGATCGACAATATTTTTGAATAAAAGTAATATATATTAAATAATAAACAATTTAATGCACTATGAATTTATTCTAATTATTGAATCAGTTTATTAACTACTCAAATGGTTACTTTAGTTTAAGGTATTATAAATTTCGATTAAGTGAAATTATGCTACGTAACATATTAGTAAGACATGCAGTGATAGCTGCTATATAACCGACTGGTAATTGACTTGACCAAATTATCTTTATTTTCTTGAAATTATTTCATGATAAGAATTAATCAAAGAGCATATCGCATGATAAAATGGTTGAAAATGCTCTTGAATCGATTTTACTCCTTGTGCCATGACCTGTATGCGTGCACTCACACAAAAAACGGAAAGCATGTACGTATACGCCATGCGTGAGAGAGACACTCGATTTCGTAGATTCGATTTTTCGTCTCGCCAATTGCATAAATGAAATTTTCGCGGGTACACTTTGTCACAGGTCGGGCTGATCCGTTTGTAGGCTAATAAACACCATATATTGAGAAAAATGGTATTTTCGAAACTGTAAGGTTGAGACAGTGACTATAGATAGTAGAAGACTGGACATGCCTTTGTTACCGAAGGGTGGACATTTTTGGGGCGAGTGTCCCCCCAGTATCAAGAGAGGTTTCCACAGTCGGCATAACAGTCATGCCTGTTTTGGCAGTTCTTCTGTTACCATACCTTACTGGCAGAACTACCTTATCGATTACGGTAAGATGAAGAGACGTACACGTGTATAGTATGACTGCAGTGTTGCTACATCTGTTTCCATATGTATGGCAATTAGTATTCGCACTTCACACACAAGTATATATCTGCTTCCATCCGTGTACGCTATCGCTTCGGTGCTTTCCACCGTCAATTCACGTATTCTGACGCGAATCTGAATACAGAAGTCACAACCAGAAGGTCGAGTTCGAATCCCACGGAGACAATTTTATTTTTAATTAGTGTGTAACCTCTTAAAAAAACGAAAGCTTGATAATTATTAATTTGCGAAGTATTTAAATAAAAGGGAGGAGAATTTTTCTTTTTTAATATGTAAATTTTATATTATATCCGTACGTCTTTAAGAAAAGATATAAGAATACATAAATACAGAAATTTCATTCTTTATCAAATAAGTGTTTTATGCAATCTTTAATATTTGTAAATGCAACAAACGAGCATAGAAATTAAGGAAATTAAAGTAAGTACATATTTTCGATAGTGTTAGTAGTCCTGAGGCAATGTATCAGAGTGCTAAGGCAGTGTAACGGTTTTGTACTAGGTTCAAATCCCTCTGTAGACATTAATTTTTTTTACATTGACAATATTTTTATTCAATTTCTAGGACTGTCCGTAAATTATGTATAAGGAAAAAGTGATTCAGAACATATTAAAAAATTGTTGAAACCATTTGATGATAGTATATCAGATGATCACATTATAACATTTTTTTGTATGACATATACGGTGTTTCACTTTAAGGGGGTAGACACGGCACGTGACCTCTCCGATTCGAGACGTCGGTATTACAGCAGATTTTTCTGCACCGAAATGGTAATACCCAAAGATACACGGCTGGTCGATGAACACTAGAGGGCGCTTTTTGCTAATTCTGTATTCTATTCTGAATGTCAAAGAAATACAGTAAAACCTGGATAAATGCAACCAAGATTGGGACCCAGTGGTTGCATTTATCCAAGCGAGGTGTCGAATCTCGGGTTACACGCGACGACCAGCCAAGCGTGAACGTAGAAAGGGACAGACAGTGGCGGAAAGACAGAGGTCCGATGATGAAAGGAAAGAGCCGAAACGTATCGGTGTGACTATACTAATTCAACTATAAAACTTTTTTATTTTTGACTTTTTTTTACTGAAACTTTTACTAACGCATTGGTGAAATTTTTCTGATTAAAATGGTACCAAACACGATATAATTTCAATTATAATTACTTGCTAAAATTGATGTTAAAGGTTGGCGAAAAGCAACAGAGATCGAAATCAAAACCAGTCGCGGTGTCGGCTCTGGTTTCAAAGGTTTCATTTATCCAGGCAAGGTGGCGATTCTGGGCATTTAATGTTGCATTTATCCAAGCGAGGTGTTGATTCTGCGTCCATACACATGTTTTGTATTCAGCCGACATGCCGATTCTGTGTCCGTACACATCTTTTGTATTCAGCCGACATCATTTATATTCAGTCGTGGTGTCAATTCTATGTTGTTTATTCTATTACTATTGTTTATAAATATAATTCAAACTATATCATGTTTGGTGTCATTTTAATCAGAAAAATCTCACAAATGCGTTAGTAAAAGTTTCATTAAGAAAAAGTTAAAAATAAAAAAGTTTTATTGTTCAATTAGTATTAGTCACACCGATATTACGGTCGGATCATATTACACGGTTTTCTCGTCGAGCGGCTCGGTTCGTCTAGGGGGATCCCCCAAAGTGGAGGGGATAGCGATGTTGCACTTATCCAAGCATTCTTTCGTTGCATTTATCCAGGTTTTACTGTAGTCAGCTGTTGCATTGGACTTGACAAAATTTCAATGCAAAGTATGGTTGATAGTGCAAGCGTAGAAAATTCATTGTATTTTTAATTAATTAAAATGTGTTTATGCTACAATATACTACGTTGCAGTGAGGAACTATAAGTGAAAAGGAAAAATAAATGAGGGGAAATCCCAGAAAAATAAAGTTTCTTAGCTTATACATTGTTTTATATAAAAATACTAAATCGTTAGGTTAGGGTTATATTAGGAAATAAATAGCGAATAGATATTTAAACAAAAAGGGATTAAAATACTGCCCAGTAAAGTACAAGCCGTTTTTTATTAACAAAATACTACACCAGAACATGAACGCTATACACTTATAAAATAATTAAACGTCCTATACAGAAAGCAATTATTGAACAAACATGTGTAAAATTGGGTTCAGACGATACAGGATCTCTTGAACTATCATGCTGTACACCCTTGTTTGATCTGTAAAAATAAATAAGTTTAATAACAATTACTTTTTGAGTTTGTACTACTTCAATCTAAAGACTGATACTTACATTTCCTGATGAATCCACTATTAGGAAATTAAAAATTAATAGGAGAGTGTGAAGAGACCCACCACCACCCCCGTCAAAGACGGTCCTCTTCACTCTCCACATCTGTACTTTTGTGCATTTGTATACTTACACCTTTGAACGTTATTGGATAGCTCTTCATATGTGCTGTGTGC